TTATCGCTGTATTAATTCTGGTGCTGGATTGCATTCCGGCACTCTGGCTGTATTTGTTTCGCGCTCAGATTTGTTGTACTCATCGATTTCGCTTCGTCCTCGTGGAATCTATATCGATTGTCAAAGAAGATGCTTTCAAGCGTCTTCTTGAGAACCATCGATCGGATGTATGCCTCGAAGTGGTCTGATATACTAGTCTCCTTCGCATAGCGTTTGTGAAGTTCGTTACAATCCCATCCCAAGTCATCACGTACAGAATTATTTTTGTCCTGCATTTCATCTCTGGCCCAACTTTATTAGCAAGCAGGTCATATTTTCTCTTCTTCTCGGTCTTGACTGCTGTCAACCTGTATTGACTAGTGATGCCAACCTCAATCAGAATTACTTCACGTCGCTTCTTATCGTGTATCATAATATCCGGCCGATCCGCTTTTATTCTGATTGCAGTTCTCACTCGCGTATCGACTCTGATCTCAGCATTCTCATTCGCAACGACTCCTGAACAGAATGGCTTCGCAAGCGTAGGAATGCTTTCAGACGATACTTTTTGCAGAGTTCCAAGTGGATGCACCATAGGACCTCATTATGTCTTTTAGTATAGTGTTTTCGCACTGCGTTGCTAAATGGTCCACCTTCACACTCATCTACAGTGTAGGCACATACTTTTCTCACCTTCAAACATATGTCTATTTTGGAGGTTACATTATTGCGCTTCATCCTTTGAGTTACCGTATCTTAGCCATATTGATGATCAGCTATGGACGAAGTTTTATTTGTCTGCATCTTGTATAGCCTTGCATGGTGGGTTTTCTTTTCTATTTCGCTATACAAGAACGCCTTCTGTGCTGCTAATACGTTTTCGACGGTGGGGTTTTCTTCGAGGTTGTATTTAGTCTTTCGGTAGGGTACAATAATTGCCAAGTATGTGTTATGGGCTTTCTCCTGCTTCAGAATCACTGCCCATATTTCTTCTGATACAAATTGGTGTGGTATCTACAAGAACATTGAGTAGTTGGAGAAGCATAAGCTCACTCTTCTGCTCAACATTATAAAGTGCACGTCCTAGTTCGTCCCTTGGCAAGTGCAGTCTTTCCAAGCATGCAGGTTGCTTGTGAATTCATATTTGATTAGTAACTATCTGGTATCGTGGTGTACAACTTTGAAGTATTCTGGCTCCAGCTTAAGCACCTTGATGTAATAATTTATCAGACCTATAACGTGCTCATTGACAACTTTGATAAAGTTCTTGCATTTAGTGCAGTTTTGGCTAATCGCTCAATAATCGCTAAAATCTATGTTTGGATTTTATCATAGCTTTCACGGGTAGGTGCACTAGTCCTGTCTTCCACTAATCCATGGTATTTATACCCTTCATTTTCCTCCAACAGCGCCGCCTTATCAGCGCATACCTCGGTATTAGTAATTAACTTTGCTGAATTTACTTCTAGTCCTACCACATCAAGAAACCTGTCAACTTCTTCTGCCGTAGATTTCATGATATCCTCATTGGCCTGAAAGATCTTGGGGTCGTCCACAAACAACAGATGACTCGTAATGTGCATCCCTTGATCAGTTAAAACCGGCACCTTTGGTTACCTTATATTGAGCCGACGGCTCAACAGATCCATGCATAGGACGAATCACGTTTGAGAATTCCTTGTTCTATTTTCTTTTCCATTGCTTTTAAATGTAACCACTATCTTTAGGTGATGTTTCTCAGAAACCCGCTGATTCACAATGGCAGTTAAGCCTTTCAGTACGCTTAACCAGGTTTCCGTGATTAACTGAATCGGACGCTTTTTTGATGTTACACCACGTAGTATAGAGCTAGCTCCTGTCCTCTCTGCAAACCACCAGGTTTAATAGTACCTGTTCCTTGGTACTTTGAACCTGGGTAACAGTTCCTAGTTGATTGTCCGCAACTAGCTTTCTCATGGCAGCATCTAACTGCATGACGCGTGCCAAATATTTCGTTGTTAACTTGTAAGGTTCGGCATACAAGTTATTGGCCTGAAGTCCTGCCTTTACTTGGGGCACCTTTTGGAATCTGGTAGGTAGTACCTCCATAGAATTACGGGTCCTGTTCCTTTTCATCCAGACAGATCCTTCTTCCTATTTTGCACAGGTCGATGCAGGGAGTGCACTTCTTAATAAAGAAGTTCTACCGCTTTCCAATTGAGCAAGCAGGAGTCGGCTTCAGAGGGAAAGTATGATGAACTTAATATATATATATATTAAACGAATGTTTAAATCACTAAGAGTAGAAAAAAATAAATGATAGAGAGAGATTGTAGAGCTAGCAGTATCAGTTACCAAATTCTTGCTCCAAATATTTTAATGATATTTCAAAGCAATTATATTTAATGTGGGATCTGAATTTTTGAGAGTTTCATTAGCTGCACTGACATTGATAGATTTGATTAGTAACATGGTTTTAAATCAATAAATGAACTTTTTATTGCAGGCTATTTGTTGTAGTTGTTTCATTCCTGTTTATGGTGGCTTTGTTTACCCAACATTTCGTGGTGAGATCTACATTGATGGGGGCGCTAGTAATAATCAACCAGTCATTGATATGGATACGATCACTGTTTCACCATTTTCCGGTGAAACTGATATTTGTCCTGCAGATGAGGAAAGTGCCAGGTCACTGCTTGTGTTAGGTTTATTCATTTGTCATCTAATTATATTTATGATTGTATTCCTTCTGTAAGTTCTCTTAAAATTTTCTAGGACTGAATGTGAGGGGTTAAGAATAGTGAAAAACCAAATATTATCGCAAGTAAATTATTAACGATGGGCATATGATTGAGACAAAACCTTGACTTGCATTATTTTAAACTTCTATTTCTAGTTTGTTTGAATGGAATTTTGCTGGCACATCAATCCGTTTAACCACAAATAATTTATATCGCGTTGCTGTCTGCCTCTTTCCGCCTTCAGCTGAAGAATGTGCCTCAATGTGTCGAAGTGGTTTTCGTGATGCTGTGAAGTTTTTAATCAGCAATGGTTAATTAAAAGCATTTTATGTTTCAAACCAGTGTAGTTAAAATATTGCACGGTTAATGCAAAAACTGGTTAGTGTGCCGATAAATGCTTGAAATAGCCGTATTAAGTTCGACTAGTTCCCAGGAAAACTTTGTCGTGCACTTATAATCAGAGGACATGTGACTTAAGTTATTTTTAATTACATGGGACTTTCAATCCTAAATAGTACAAGAAAGCACTGATTTTTCTAATTTTTTCATGTATACAGGTTTTGCATCAAAGGCAGTTTGCTTTTCGGTAGAAGCTGATTTATCAGCTGACCTAACTCGAATAACATCAGGTACATCATCCACTGAATTTTGTTTGGAATCCTCAGTCCATCACAATCAATTGGAACAAAGTAGAAAAGCAGCAATAGTTTTAGCTCGTGTGCCTACTTCATCCTGTTTAAAGTATGTCGAATACGATACATATTTTTCTAAAAGAGGTTTTTGTGGATCAGTATTTCAGGCTTGCAGTAATTCATTTTTTTCGTAAAGTTTAAACTGATGAAATTCACAAATATTTTGGTTCAAAGTTGCGAATAACTTTTTTTCGTCCAGTCTTAAAATCGAAAAAGTGAAGGATCGTTCTGATATTGTGGCAGGATCTACTCAATTGCCGCACTCCCTGCAAATTGGTTGGTTTTCTCATTCTCAGTAGAGAAAAATGAAGTTTTCTTGTACTTTTTTACTAGAAAAGCACAGATTGGCTGCGAAATATTTGGAGGATAATTCATATTTTGAGATGTGGAATATTTCAGCGTTTGATGAAGCGTTGGGTAATGGTGGTTTCCTGGGTTATATTCGTTCGTTTCGAGTTGTGAAGCTAGCTAATTATGCTACTCTACCATTGACTACTGTTTTTCAGTTGCTAAAGTTTTGTCAGTGGTTAGTATCAAGCATTCTTTGCAAATTCCTAAATATCCAGTTTTCTTATCACTTAATATGTTTTTAAAAATTGCATTTTAATTCCTTGTTGAGCACAATTAAATTCGGAATCCTCATTTTAATAAATACTATCATTATTTTGAAATAGAAGGCATGAAAAATTGGGTGTCCTTTTTTTAATTTTTCTGATAATTTTTTCTTGAGATTTGTGATAAGTTTTAGTCTAAGCTCGTGGCTTGCTATCCGCATCACAAAGCACATTATTGATGATTGGTATAGCATGAGAATCAAACACTTAGTGGAATTTATTATTAATGAACTTGATGCACAGGGAGCTAAAGTTTCTGCTAGGTAGGTCTTTGGTCTCTTTGCGCAGGTTTTATTGTTGCAGTGATGCAGAGATTTATTTTTTAATTTTAATGTGTTTGATCACAAAAATGTTTTCCTTTTTATTGCGTTCAAGGCAATTAATGAATCTTTCTAGACTGAGCCAGCAACTAGCTATCACTGAATTTGAGTTCAGTGGGATAGGTCAGCGACCTGTAGTTCGTGAACAAGTTCTTGATATCAGTTTATCATCTGAGGCCATTAAAGAACGAGAAGCGTTGCAAAACATGGATAGATTACTGTCAAAAAAGTCAATTGAAGAAGTTTGTCAATTATCTCGAGAAAAAACAGATTCTTTCACAAAACTTAAGTTTCCATTAATCATCAAGCAATTTCTAGATTTCTTATAATAGTCGAACTCTTTCATTTTATTCAAATTAATAGATTTAGTGTTCCGGTGCCTAAAAACATTATATAAACTACCTTAATGTAGCACGAGTTTTCGAAATTGATCGCACTGCTTGATCACTTTTTGTCCATAGGATTGCTCTGAAATTGCTTCTTCGAATCAGAAAAATCTCGGTGTTTCTGACACTGATGTGTGTGAAAGCAAACGAAATGTGTTGGAAAGTGACAAAACATTATGTGAAATAATTGAACAGAGTACTGAATGCGATGCTGCTTTGGCATTTTACTACAAATCTACAGATAATAAAGTAAATATTTTATCTATGTAACGCAAGTTTAGTGTTGTGTATCGATTAAAAAAAATGGGATACGCTCTTCTCTTAAATATCCATTATTGGTGTCAGATAAAGTTGTAGTTTGTACCATTAAATAAATAGGAGCCTTGTGATTTGAAAGTATAAATTTCTAATTATGATGACCAAACTATCTCTGATGTATAGCAACATTTCCCTTTCCCGGAATTTCAGGATAGAAGCTTTCATTGTTTATGTTATAAGTTATATTTCTATTTTTTTTAGCTTCGCATATGCGAAATATTTGGAGTTAATCATACCGAAAGACATCGTTGTCACTCATCATGTGATAACTTAGACGTGCGCGGCTTGTAGCAAACAGAATTTATTACTTTTGCTTCTCTTGCAAGTTATAACTCACAATGTTTTGCACTGACTGATCATTAGTGGGTATTCATTTATGTTCAAGGTTAGTTATCTACAGTATCCCCTGTTCAAACATGTTGATTTGTTATTAAGGAATTCCATTTCAGCCCCACAAATGAAAAGGGTGCCAGATCTTCAGAAAACTCTCTGCATAGATTTTATTGTAGAATTCTTACATGAATTCGAGAGGTCTCAAGTTCGAGCTTCAAAGGCAACTTCAGATTAAAACAGTCCTGTTCAAAAAAAATTTCCTCAGTTTTGCCATGTCCTTTGTTATTGTATTTGAATGTATTAATTTGCGAAAATATTATTTGATGACATATCAGATTGATTCACTCAGTGCTAATTTTTATTAAGTATTATGTTGAATAAAATCAATGATCAGCAACGATTACTTCATCCCAAATTTTCTATTATAAGTTGTGGAAAATTATTTTATAAAATCAGAGGATATAAAATACATGGATGGGTAGTTATAGTGTATAAGAGGAAATCATGAGATCTTTATCAATTAGATTCCTGACATGTTTCAGGAATATATTTGTCTATATTTATTGGATAAGAGAATGCTGTCAGGAATGAAGTGTTATGTACAGATGCGATAACTACATCTTCGCAACTGCTGTCAAACAAATCATTACTGACAGTGACGAAGTAGATCTTCATAATACCAACCTTCTGAGAAACTAATTGAAGTGGAAATATGAAGGAGCGCCATGCAACCCTTTATTGCTGTCTTCTGATGCACCGAAGACGAGACAAGGGAAGAAAGTAAAGAAGAGTTCGAAAACCGCAAGAATGCTGTGTTGCCTGACGGTCAGGATATGATAGAAGGAGTCTGGGCAGGGAACGAGGAAAAACCGTATCTGGAATCGTAATGAAAAACAATGGGAAAGCAGATGAGGTTGTGAAAAGCTCCGTGAGAGATGTAAGAGAGCACTCTGCCAGTTTACCGGGTCCAGGGACCAGCACGATGATGACGCTTGAAGAGGTTCCGCAGAACTGGTGGGCAGAAAAAATGCTGAAGATGGTCCTTAATCGTTTCGGGAGGGGGTTCTTGCTCTTTCGGGAAGAGGATGACATTAGTGACGTTCTTTGTATTGCGAGAAGTTCTACCTAAGATGGTTAGTTGCATTGATGCTGCATGCAACTCCCGTCTGTAACATAATCTCAACTGATTAATAGTCTCAATTTGTTTAGGTATGTTTTAGTGTGGTGGATTTTCCTGTCTCTTACAAGTAATCCTATGCCTTCTTTCTCCTTAATACCTACTCGGGACGATAGAAATTTGATTTGTAACTGTGAGCCTTGCAGTATAAATCACTATGAAAGGTATACGCTAATGATTAAACCATTTATTTGCTTAATGTCATTAGAATGTTTCATACTTAATTTGGATTGAGGAATATCGTAATACAAAAGTCATAGACAAGAAAGCAGTAAAAGTATTTTTCTAATGACTACATTCAAATATCTCTTGGATCTGTTTGTTTCACTTGAATTTTAAAACTTGTACTTTTACATCTAATCTCACATGCACGTACTTTAATTTATAATTTGCACTGTTCAGATTGATGGTTTTTCAAGTATGTTCAGAATATTAGTCAGAACGGTTGAAATTCACGATTATGTGCTCAAATAAATCTCGGCCATACTAAGTTAAGTAATTTGGTATGCAAAAAATATGTAAACTCTATCTATATGTGACAGTATCTAACATTTTGCGAAAGTGGAATGTTTTCTATGAGTGAAAAAATATCGGAATGATCTGGTCATGCATGTGACCGCCTCAATATATCTTTTCACAGTGCATTCCATTCATTCCAAGTTAGAAGTTATGTTTTTTGCAACAGAATTTACGTACTAAGTTGACGGTACACTTCTTAAATTTTGCAAAATACATGCAGTTCACTTCCTATACGTATTTTGCGAAAAAAATTTGCATTTACCTCGAAAGGTATTTAAGGGCAATTATTTTGCAGCCATGGATGTTGTTACGCATGAACGTGGTATTGATCCGACGATGACACAATATCAGTATTCACTTTACTCCTTACGCCCTAAACGAGTTGATTTTGACCTAACATGGGAATGTGTTGAAAATTCAATTAAACGCATCATGAAATTGCAACCATTAGAGCGACGTGCTTGGGATTATAATTTTTAGTAAGCCCTGAAGTATTAGAGTTATGTTTTGAAAAAAATACTTTTGACCAAGTTTTACTGCTTACGTTATTCAGTAACTTAATTCTGTAGACATTTCTTTGCGGGTCTGCACGATATCTGGTGTATTAATTTCTATTATTGATTCTTCGTTTGCAGAATTTTTTTGAGGAACAACAAATAAGTAATATTTTCAAAAAAATATATATATATATATTTTTTTGTGATAATGTGAAATTATTTTTATTATATATATACGAAATCGTTTTTATTATAATCTGAACTTGGCACATGTACAGCCGTAGTGCTGGAATACATTCTGGCGCCAGAGTCAATAAAGCAAAAAAGATGATTGATCCCCGTATTTTCTTTTCTTATTTTTGTATATCACTACCCCGCCCCACGTCATCACATACGAGGTTATTTTTCTTTATTTCATCTCTACTTCCGAGTTATTAGCGAGTGTATCATTGCTTTTTCTCGATCTCTACTGATGTCAACCTGTCCTGACCAGTAATACTAACCTTCACGGTGATTCGTGTCGCTTCTTTTCGTCCCAAAGGATCTCCGGCCAATGTGCTCTTACTTCAAGCGCTGTTCTTACACCGTGTTTCATTCATGACGACCTCCTAAATTGAATGGCTTCGCAAGCGCGGGAATGCTTTCAGGTCATACTTGCTGCAGGGTCTCAAATGGATTCATAGCAGGACCTCATTGTGCCTTCTAGAATAGTCATGATATATTTCTTCGCACTGCGTTGCTAGATAATCCACCTTCACACGTTCCCTACAATGGAGTACATACTTTTTCTTCAGCTTTAACCATATTTATATTTTAAGAGTACAGTATCACGCTTTAATCTCTAGGATAATGTTTCCGAATCGTAACCACATTGACGAATCTTACATTAAGGCTGGCTCATCACTGCGCATCTTGCATCTTGTATAGCTTTGCATTGCAATTTTTCTTTTGTGTTTCGCTACAGAGGACCGCTTTTGTGCTGCTGTTAGGTTTTCAGCGGTTCAGTTTTCTGCATTTTTTTGCACTCTGAAGGTAGGGTGTGTACGTAGTATGAGCATTCTTCTGCTTCAAAATCGTTGGCCTCCTGATGGGTATGTCTTCAGTTTCTGCGTGTACATTATGAATATGGAAGCATGAGCTCACTCCTCTGCTCAACATTATGAAGTCTAGCTTGTCCCTTGACGGGTATAGTTTCTCTAAACACACACTTTTCTCAGTTCCAAACATTTCTATTTATTTAGTTAGCGTCTGGTATCGTGTACTGTAGGTTTGAAGTCTTTTGGTTCCAGCGCATACTCAGGTGCTAGGGGCTGACTTTGCTAGATTTATTTCTATCTCCTTATTACATCAAGAAAGCTCTGGGCTTGTTCGGCCATAAATTTTATGAGTTCCTCATAGATCACAAAAATCTTGGTCACTCGGATGTTGATGTAGCGATGAGCTGTGTTACCTCTTAAGTGATGGCCACCACTGGTAAGGTCAGAATTCTCGAAAAATGCGGCTTTATTTAGCCTTAAATTTTTCTTGGCGACTTATTAATAACTTCTTTTTGCATTTTGACGTGTGTTAGTTTAAATAATTTCGTAACAGAAATCATAGACTTCGTTTTATTAAAACTCATAATTACAGCCATATATATTCACTTTGTGTTGCTATACCGGAACCGTTCAGTGAACGTTTGTATCAAAAAACGAAGGAATGTTTGGAAACTCACGTGAATGAATTGTTCCAGGTTTTCACTTTTAAATTGTTTCATTCACATTTCTGTGCACACAGAAAATTATGAATTCAATTTATTGCTGTTATATCTATTTTTCTCCAGGAAATCAGTAAACCAAGTAATTATGAACTTCTCAGCTGTTATTGCCGGTTTTGGAATATGTTTTACAAAGGAGCAGTATGTATTCATAATCTTTTTGGGTAAGTTATTCAGACTGCAAAAAATTGACAGGAAAATAATCGTAACCACCAGAATTTCCCAAATACTGTGAATTATATGAAATTACTTGCTTTATAGAAAAATGCTATAATTTTCATGTGTTTGTTATGGGCAATTTTAGTTTGCAGGTATCTCAACAAACAGTATATTAAAGTTAAGCGGTGTACCGAAATTGAAGGTGGATATGGTGCATATAGTCAGTATATTGTACAAAGAGATGTTAAAGAAATTGGCCTGGTATGTTATTTTAATAAATAATTGCGTGATATTTTTGAAATTGTTCTTCAATTTTGTAAGGCAGTTTCTACTACGGAATAAGCCTTTGTCAATCAGTGGTTCTAATTTGTCTTCACTGAATATTAAATTGGTTCTGTTTTCATTTGCGTGAATTGTTCTTAGTTTCAATAGGTATGAGTGTGATTTTGCTTTTATATTTAACTGTGGATATCAGAAAACATAGAAATCGAAAATTGTTTATTTTGTTCGAGTCATTATATTTTTTTGTGTACATTATTTTTTACAAAATCATATTTTAGCTTGCTATGGAAATTTGGCGAGAAAAAATGATAAATCCATTGAAAAGACGACTGATTGATCATATTTTGAGTGCTATAGCTGCAGATCGAGATGGAAAGAACATTATGCCAGTGGATATTGTTAGAGATGTCATTATGTCTTTTGTGCAAGTATGTAAATTTTCAGCTCACTTCCATTCTATAAATTTTTTCTCCATCTGCGATCTGTTGTTACTTCTTAATTGCTATTTAAGTCTGATCTGCTAATACTAATAGTCATTAACTTGTATGATAAAACTCGTAATCCCAAAAAAGAGGCTCAGAATAGATAATTTATTTCTCTATTTTAAAGATTCAAAGGAATGTTGAAGTTTTAATTGAAATACCTTTTATGTAATGCAGGTAGATGACGTCGATTGTATGCGTGAAGGGTCGGATAAAATTTCAGCAGATTCATTACTTAATTTTGACACATACAACGGAGTCTTCGAAAAAGAATTTTTAAAAACTACAATGGAATATTACAAAGTTCTATCGAATAAATTGCTTGATGAACTCAGTTGTTCTCAGTATATGAAAGTTGTAAGTTATTTCTGATATTTTTTGTGATTTATTTTCTCTTCTATCTCTTGTCCGTTATGCATTGATTCTAAGAATTCATCCTGATTCCTATTATGTATTTGAGTATTTGAATTCTATGTGCTTACTGTTCATTTAGTATTATATTCATGCAGTATGTGTAATGCATATGTAGTATTGGAGGTTTGAAAATGATAAAAGAGTACTACAATATATTTCTTTAAGTTCGGGATAAATCTCTATTAAAATGATGAATTAATTTTGGATGAGTCGACTAGAAAGAATGGCTAGTATTTGTTTTTCAGCCACATGGATATATTGACACTTTTACTGTTTTAATAAACATAGTCTCTGATATTTAAGGTAATCAAGCAAATGAATGAAGAAAATGAGCGTTCGATCCGTTATTTGCATTCTAGTAGTTACGAAAAGGTAACTAAAATTTGTCAAGATGTGATGGTAGATGCGCACAAAAAACGCTTGTATGCTGTTTGTCAGGAATACATCGAAGAGGAACGTACAGCTGGTAAATCATTTTGGAATGCTCTTAAAACAATTATGAAAATAGACGGGTTTGCCAAAGGATAATATTACTCCAATATTTCTCTTAAGTGATAAATGTGATATTTTTCTTGTGTTTGCAGACCTTCATAACATGTATCGTATTTTGAAACCTGTAGCTGGGGGGTTATCGGTCGTTGTCCATGAATTTGAAAACTTCATCAAAAAAACTGGTCTTGAAGCGTTGAAAGAAATGAATGGTGATAATATTCCTCAGCAGTTTGTTGAAAACGTGTTGAAAGTCTGTGGTTTTTCTGTTTAAGTTAATTTTGTAAGTTGGAGGCAACAATCATGTCTCTAAAAACTGTTTTGTAGTCGAATTTTTTAACGCAGTCTAATTGAAATAAAATTCAACATTTTTTCAGGTTTATGAAAGATTTTCTTCTATAGTCACAAGCGTTTATCATGATGATGGCGATTTTGTTGGTTCATTAGATAAAGTACTTTTTTTAGATTTTAACAGTGTAACATATTTTAAATATTGAGCATACATTCTTATAAATACTCTTTTTCGGATTTTACTGGTTAATTTCTATTAAGGAGCTCATATGAAATGTATCTACACTCGTATACAGTTTTAGGCTCTTCAGTGTATTGTAAACTTTCGCGAAGATTCACGCCAAGCTCCCAAAGCATCAGAGAGGGTAAATAGTATTCATTTTGTTAGTTTATAAAATTTGAAAATTAGTTGTGACAAATTCAAATTTATTTCTCAAAAATTTGAAAAAGTTTAAATCTCTTTCTATGACTCGTCATAGTTTGACAAGTGTATCTACTGTTTGTATTTTATTGCTATAATTTTTCACTGGTTATTCATCTTCGAATATTCTAGAAACATAAAGTAGTTGCACTTAACTTTAGGAAGTTATTTTTTCAGCTTGCACGTTATATTGATACACTTTTGCGAAAATCTGGTAAAGGATTAAGTGATAACGAATTGGAAACAAAATTATCACAGACAATTATTATTTTCCGCTATATTGAAGATAAAGACGTCTTTCACAAAGTTTGTTTTGTTCTCTTCATTCTTTTCATTAGCTTTCTAATGATAAATAATCATTAGAACAGAAGTCTTCGCTGATAAATGTTTGCAAGTTTCTTTTGAATTTTTCAAATTTTTGGAAATTGTTAGGAGGAAGTTTTTCATTCTCTCACTCATCATCATTCAATAATTTTACTTCCTCTTGTTTTTTATTTTGTAGATCTCGTATACATTTATAATAACAGTTTGACTTCTATTTGAAGGAATTTGTTGGGAATAATTCGTCGCAATTTCGTCTGCTGCAGCTCTTTTTTATTGTAACTTAGGATACAGTATAGTCTTGTTTCTTCTCCATATGATTAGTTAATTTTTTTCAGTTCTATTCAAAATTATTGGCTAGTCGTCTAATTTCCAACACTTCTTTGTCGAAAGATGCCGAAGAATCGATGATTACGAAGTTAAAAGTAAGCTGAATAATATATTTTAGTTTTTGTAGTTTCATTTTTGGAATAGATATCGAAGTATCAACGTTCTATGTTTTTTTAAAGAAAAATCAGCGTAACGTATTCTTTTAAAAATTTGCGCGTAGAAATTTCTTATGCTGCTTCTGTCAATCGTGTACGAGGTTGTGATTTCAGCAAGCATGTGGATTTGAATTCACTAGCAAACTGTCTCGCATGTTTACAGATGTAAGTTTGAGTCAGGAGCTCACTCATAAATTTGAAATCGTAAGTTTTTTTGTTGACTCTTCATCTCTGCTCTTTAATATACATGTGTTAGGATATAAGTTGTCAGATATTATTTCTCTATTAATGCTAGGAAGTCATAATCAGCAGAATTTTGGAGAAAAGGACTGATACTTTATCTGGGAATTCACAAGTACAAAAATGAAGTATTGGCTAAGCGTGAACTTACTTTTTTATCAAGATTAAAGGAATATTAGAGATCAATTAAGAGTATAAAACAATAAACTTTTACTTAGTATTTGATGTTAATTTGGATATCGTTCACAAGATTTTCAAGTTTTTAGCTACGTAATGTAATTTAAAATTGCCATATTCGCATCCCTCCTCAGTCGTTGATTTGTCGATACCATGATATTCCAAAACTCTTTTATTATAATTATTGGCTACAAGATCACTGCTAAATTTTGGTGATTCTTTTATAACTGAATCATTTTGATACAATTCACAAATGAATTTTTCTTCAGTTTTGTGATATGCATAAAATTTGTCTAAATATTCAAATGTCAGTATTGATCCTGCAAGCTGGAGCTTGGCCGTTACCGACACCGGGTCTAGCTTTGATTTCTGCCTCAGGTTGATTTAACTTTTTAAGTTTTTTTCGCATTTCCTTTCTGTTCAGTCGGTCTCTGTTTTCGTTGTATGGTTCAGGTATATGTTTAATGTGAAAACGTTAGTGGATTGATCAAATTTTGTACACCAGTCATAAATATAGTAGTAATTCAACAAGTTCGATGATGAAAAGGATGTTTGATTTTCAGGAATCGATGTTAAAGAACATGCAAATTCTGTGCAAACGACAGGTTTTATTGTCCCTCCTATTCTTTTGCCATCAATTGAATATTTCGAAAAATTTTATCAGGCTTCACATAGCGGTCGCAAGTTAACGTGGCTTGTCAATTTTGCAAATGGTCAGTTTTAATCTTTCTTTATCGGGTGATCTATTAAGTTGAAATATTCTTGTGTTAGTGGATTTTTGGAATTTCGGTTCTCACGATATCTTTCAGTACGTAGTTCTGCGAAGTATTAAGCTCATTTTGATAGTTTTTGGTCTCACTTGATATAAGAAACTGTATTACTTTAAAGCACCGTAAGTGGTGTTTTATATAAAAGGACTGATAATATGAAAGATTATGGTAAACCTAAATAGTTGTTTACTATGATTGGACCTATTACAGCGGTTTTGGAGAAACTTATTTAAAATTCTTAAAATTTTTTCCGTATGTTTTGTAAGAAACATTTGTTGTAAGAAACATTTACAAAGTGAAATTAACGATTGGAAGGAGCAAATAATATGTTTATTATTTCAGTAGAAGTCAGGTTGCATTATTTGGACAAAATTTATCAGGTTACAATGTCAGCACATCAGCTAGCTATTCTCTTGTGTTTTGAAATGAATGATTCGGTACAGCTAGGCTACTTGGAAAGGGCGACTGGTTTATCGGGTGAATTATTAAGTCGGAACATTCGTGCATTAGTCGATTCAGGAATTTTGGTCCTTACCAAAACGGTATTTACCTTTCAGTATATATTTCTGGGAAAAGTTAAGCTAGTTTTGATAGTTTTTTGAGATAGATCAGTTCCAATTATTGTATGATCTTTGTTTTATGACACTAGTGCAAGACTAAAAGTAAAATTCGAGATTTTTCATGATCGAGTTTTTTGATTTTATTTTATGTGAAAACTGATGCCAAATGACAACCCATTTATTTTATTTTGTGAACTTTGTTTCTTAAAAAAGCTTATAGGAAACGAACGATGGGAATGAAGTTATGCTTAATAAAAAACTGGTGTCGAAACGTCTTCGCTTTAAGGTTGTTGTACCACAACTTCATCGACATGTAAGGTTTATCATAACTGACGTTGTTCACTAAACTGAATTTGATTATTAGCAATTTCGAGCACTTTGATAGAGTAAATTCAAATGCACATTTTTTGTTCGTAAATTGTAAACAATTTCTAGGCCAAATTTATGTTAGTTGGATGTATTGTGTTTCTGATGTGCAATATTTTTTGAAGGAAATATTAACTTATAATTTCTGTAGATTGAAAAAGAAGCGGAGCATGTGAATCTTACTGCTCAGCAGGACCGTAAATATTATATGGAATGTACTATCGTTCGTATAATGAAGACTAGAAAAGTGTTGAAGCATGCAGTTTTAGTTAACGAGGTATGATTTGTCATACCAAGAATGCAGTTTTTTTTACTTTTCATAACCAGAAAAATAGTCTCATGATTTGCAAATATATTTTTTTCCTTGCAATTTATCATTTTCTTACTGTATTTAGGTGATTGAACAAACGAAATCTCGTTTCACACCTGATGTCAACTTTATAAAAAAGAATATTGAGTCGCTCATTGAGAAACTCTATATCCAAAGAACTGACCAAAATGATGAATACCAGTATCTGGCGTGATGACTATCGGTATCTGTATCACGTACACACAAATAATTGATCTTAGGATTATAGTTTTTGCTAACATGTTGTTGGCTTGTGATGCTTTTGAGGAACTTTCTTTAAGTTTATTTGGATGAACATCCAGTGCAGAGTACAAGTATTTTTCGGAAAAACATATAATTAATTGCTCAACAAAGGAACTTGAAAAATCTTTTACTAGAAAGAAAAGCTAATGTTGAGTGAAGAATGGGCAAATGGTGACATAGTAAGTTTGTCATTGTTCACTCTTTACGCCTGTATCAATCACTAGAGCAGTGGATTGGAGCTACTTATGTTAGAATAACCTTTATTCTATTCGATAATGCAGTTTATCTGATACACTGTAGAAAAACTTAAAGGTGTTACTTGTATAAATAAGAACTGACACTTCATAACGATAAATGTGCGGTACAAGAAGTTAATCATATCGATAAATGGACGGTACAATAAATAATGGAATGAAATAACCAACAAGGGTCAGAAAAGTCAGGACTAGGTTGAGTGTGTTTTGTAACATCTGGGAGGATCAATCACATTCAAAAAGAGCATATGCTTCCATACGTAAATTTTTGTTTTGGGACTCAGTGCATTTTTTTTTGTTAGCCAGTGTGCGTACGTTTAGTATACCAAACATTTTTTCCTAATTCACTGAAGTTTTGGGCCCCTTGGTAATTGTACACACATAAGTAGCTAGGTAGATTTATATGAATAGAAGTGTAATTATTTCAATGTGAATAAAAATTACAATTTGTCACTGTTTCAAGGCTGTTAGTTTTGTTTGCATCCAGACCTGAATGTTGTTTGAAGTAGTCGATCGTTTATATTTGGGTTTCTGCAGCACTTGCGCTTTGAATAGTAATCGTGGACGAAATTTCGTGAATAATCTAGAGTTCACTTTACCAACAATGTTAATACTCTTAGTAATGAAGTGGAGATTCTGTTAACATTAAAGATACTTATGATCGACCAGACCAAATTGTTAGATTTCGAAGAGAGATGTTCATTGCATTAAGCCATGAAAGCATATCGTCTTTTCGATCCGCAGCCATTAGGATTCTAGAACGAAACAAAACCAAGAATTCTAAATCGAGATAAGTTCGAAGTCATTTCAGCATTTCTGTTGTTCTAACAAGTCGGGAATTCTGTTAAAAGTAATTATGAATAGCTGGACCAAGGCGCAAAAAAATGACAGTAACAGATACTGTCAAGTGATTTTTTCTAGTCTGCTAAAGAACCAATACGGTATTTTGGATTATGAAGTATGTCTTTAAAATTGCTTTCAAAATTTGAAAATCATGATACAATGGGGTCGTTCCACGTGATCTACCTTATTCTATCTGGCTTTTGAGGATCTTTTCCAGATAGCCAGACATCAATTTGCATTGAGTTTGGATACGGGCAACGTTCTACAGGAATAGGTTTGATTTCTTTGCAAGCGCACGTCCTTAAGTCAATACTCACAACTGGTATCTGCAATTTTTTATTAGTATAGACAGGTAATATTCTTCATACACTTGCACAAATCCAGACTCTTAACCTTTGTACTCTCATCTTCAGGATACCGCCAGAAACGAAGCTGTCCATCCCAAAGCACGCACCATAGTCTAGTCCATGAAGCAATGTTTTGAACTGGCTGATACAAACTCTGTAAAGAATGCATAAGTTCAAAGTATATAGATTTCTGATTGAAACCCAACACATAATTTTAGCGAAAGATGAAACATTAGATTTAAACGATTTAAAAGTGATTAGGAATATAGTCAACAGCGCAATAAGATTTTTTATATAAGTTATTCGTTAACTACCGACTTTCGCAAACAAATTTCATGACTAGAAATAAACTGAACTAAGACCCTGGTTAGTTGAACTAGTCCATGCGTTCACTTCATTTAGATATCAGCAAAAAAAGTGAAATTCGTACCAGAAAACCTTTATGGCCAACAGTGCCACAATCTTCAGCATAACAACGAACTTTCATATCAACATGACCATCAAGTGGATAAAGTGGATCACAAAGCTGGAATCTGGTTTTATTCACACTCGCGATATTTAGAGAAAGATGTCCAATTCGCTGAAATGATGGATCTATTACCGCAGATGGTCCAGCAAGCGAATTCATGCCTAAAAAAATAAATTTACTACATGATATAAGGTAACATTTTCAAGCAATCCGCTTACTTCACAAAGAAATACGAACGTGATTCAGGAATGAGATAAAGTATGATTTTGGAAACGTGAGGAAAGAAAGCCCAAAAATTAAAAAATTATTAACGGTTCTATTCATGACTTTACAAACTATTAACGAGCAAGAACTCAAGTGTCTCTTGATAGATGAGAAAGTAAGATGAAATGAGAAATATTGGCTGAGCTTTAAGATGTTTAAAATTCGAAATAACCTGATGGATATATCGATTTGTGAGATTTTTTCAAGGAGCTTCCACCTTTTATGTGATATTTAGTTTCACGACGAAGTAACTCCCGCCGAGTTCGCTATAACAGAAAAATGTTTCGCAGCTGAGAATTCAGATGTAATAGGAGTTCAAAAATGTCCAATATTTAAAGATGATCATTTTTCAAATAAACGCTGAAATAATCTGAAAAACTTACAAGAGCATAAATTTCCAGTTTACAATTGAAATCATGAGGAAGTGATCTAAACTGGATGTAGTGTGGGAATTCAAGTCGTCCAGAACAAATACCTTCATCACTTGTTGTTAAAGTTGTATGATGGACTGTTTCTTCATATCGTATCAGTACAATAAAATAGAATAACAACTGATCTGAAAAACTGACTAAAAACTGGATATTAATCGACTTTATCTTAAAATGAACGGAGTTATTTCCAGAAACTTTGAGAAACAACAAAAAAACGGAGGAATTATTTGATTTGATGACTTTTTCCACTAAAAAATCAGTTTTTTTGATTGAATTAAAAATTCTAGATAAATCTGCAAAGAATATATGGTTATCTTGCCATCATGATAGTTGACATGTCCATTGACAAAGTCACGCATAAGTTTCACAGAGATATCTGAAAACGTCAAATTTCCTTTTGGTCCATCTGGGATGCAATATTGGATACTACCAGTTGCATGTTTATGAATTAAATGGTCGAGAACAATAATTAAAGCGCGTCTTCGTTCCGTCGCTATCAGAAGTGCTCGTTGTGCATCGACCTAGGATTGGTTAATTACAAAGCAATAAATCAGTAAAAATGCTTATAGTGCATCGTTTTTTACAGAAGGACATTTGCTGAAATTAAGTTTGCAAATATTCACGGGAAAAACAATCATGCCTATAATACACTCCTAAGAGTTGGGCAAACACGTTAAATAACCTTTATTATATTCATTTCATACTATAACTTTGTTGATTGAAATATGCACGAGAAAGCTGATTCAAAAAATTGTTTTCACACACTGGATTTAGCTATCTCAATGACATGCTTTAAACTTTCACTAACCTCTTCACGACTGCCTTTAAATTCTTGAGTACTGTGACAAAATGATAATGCTCGAGATGCTTGTACAATCTGTTCCTGCTGTACACTGATGGCTTTTTCTAGTCGTGCTCGCTCAACTTCGAAGCTTATTCGCTCATTCATACTTGCTTTAGATGTAGAATGATTGAAACTGCTTGAACTAGTAAAGGGTGGAGGAGTAAACTGACTGAAAAAGTTTAGTCTGTTAAACCATACTTATTATAATTTAATTCTCTCATTGATATTAAAAACTAATGCCTAAATTGGTCGGACTCGTTTAATTTGAAGTTCACACTTATTTATACAATGTAAGGAAATCTAGGTTTATTAAAACATAACACAAAGGCTTTCATAAGAAAATAAGGAGGTATTACTGCTTCAAAGCAAGGTGCTAAAAGTATCTTGATTTATTACAAGATTACCACCTAGAATTCAAAATAAAAGAGTTGTCAACTATGAACATTACTCTTAATGAACAATATCCAGTTCTCTGTGCTGATGAAAAAACTCAGTTCTCTATGTAATTTTAATAGAAGCGTGTGATCTGAATGCACTCAGTAAAGCAAACAGGAAACAAAGACAAATACGAACTTACCCAAGCATTACAGCCTCAGCCATTGTTCTATTTTCTTTTTCTTTTTTCCGATAAAAAGAAACGGAGTGTGCGAGTGACGCTGCTAAAAAACATTATAAGAAAATTAAAAGTAAATTTCAGCAGAAGTCGTTTTGGGATTAAAACACTTTTTAAATAATATTAGTTAATATAAATTAAAGCATGTACCTTCGGCAGATTCAGAGTTTCTCAAGGCTTTAAACGACTCATTTTGTTGAACTTCCGGTGTATTAAGAATCGCTGACATTAATGACGAATTTTTGTCTGGCGTCTATAAAAAATTTAAAAGTAGTACTGTCAGTCAATACTCCGCTTACAGAAATATGAATAAAGTTTATGTCAATTTGCGAATTCTTAAGATGCTAAAGTGATGATAAGGATCGCTATAGGAAAATTCCTTGCCTGATGGATAAACTGAAACACATCATCAATAAGTTGGCTGGGTTCGTTGCTACTTTTATCAGAAATATTCACTTTATGCAATTCTTCTAGTATTTCAACATCTTGCAGTTTGTTGACTTCAAAAGAATACTGCTGATTTTCATTTTCGGTAGACTGCTAAAACAGATATACGATTACTTATTTGTATCATTAAATCTAAATAGTCATAAATTCAACATTAGAAACAATTTTTAAACGACTTATTGTTGCTTATGTAAATGATCATCTAAGTAAATAGATTGAATAATTCAATACGAAGCAATATTTTCAAAAGCTAACAATGCATGACGTCGAATAGGCTGCTGATATTGGCCGCAAATCTGAATAATGACTTGATTCTAAAACAAAGTCACCCTTTAAAATTATTTATTTAATTTTGTTTTAAATTTTGACGATAGTACTGTTTTTTAAGGAAAAAAAAAACTTTCTTTTGGTTTCACAGTATGATTGCGGTCGCAATCTCTTATCCTTTGTTATTTTTGCCATTTTTATGGCTGCCTCCAACAATTCGTCTTCTTCCTGATCGGGATGTAGAGGAGTACCAGAAACAGAAGAGACCTAAAACATGAGAAAGTCACCGTTATGAAGTGAAACCACTTCAAAAATTCGAAGTTTTTATAATTTATCTAAATAAAAAAGAAACAAGCTTAACGAAGAGCATAATAGCAATTACTTACAATACACCTTAAAACAATAATCATAGTATTGTGAGAGAGAATCACTCATCAATAGGTTGGCATACTCTTTATTCAAAATGATTTGAAATGTTGTAGCTTTGAATCTTGGAAATGTCAAGAGAAGATTATCAGCCGAAAAGTTTATATCAAAATGACACTCACCTCCCATCTTTTACGTAAGCTTTTTACATTTGCTGAACGAATATCGATTTCTGCACGGGATTTTTGCTGAAAAAAACTAGCGAATATAAGTTAATATTAGATTTCACGTTACGGACGATATGTAATATAGCAACCAACCAGCTGTGAAGAATTTTGCTGAAACTTGGAAATTGAAAGGCTAATTTTAGGAGCAATCCTTGCTTCTATTTTTTCACTGCGAAATTTTTCATCAAGCCTACAAAGGAAACAGCATGTTCAATGATAACTGGAATTTCTCTGAAATTGGATGAGAACACCATGAATCCATTACTGAGAGAAATATTGAGAGGAAGATGAATTGTTTGCCTTCTCCTATTAAACATGACTAAGCGTGAAAGAATCTCATAGCCACATCATTAATGTATAAATCTTACTGTCTTGCCATTTCTCTAGTACGAGTTTTCTTATCACGTAAAAAAACCCTAGTGGCACGATTCTCAGTCACCATTTTATCGTCACATGTACTTTCGTCTGAAAATATGAAAAGGACATTATCACTCTTAACTGTAATCAAAATTTTTGGACTATATTTTAATGAAGAACAAAGTTGTTTCTTGACTTATAGTATTAGTTTTTGAAATACAGTTTGTCTTTTCATCGACTTCGCGACATATTTACCTTTTCAAATACTGAAAAAAACTGTTCGATTTAGAGAAAATAACCCTTACCAGGCTTTAACTTCGTCCAAGATTGTTCATTTGATTTGGTATTGTCCTGCAAAATTAATGGCCATAAAAGTAAGCGTGGACATTAGTTTATTAAAAGAATTGAGAACTAGGAAAGAGAAGTAAAACGTACATTTTCACTTTCCTTCGTTAATCTTGACGATTTGCGCTAAAAATCTATTTTTTAAATCTTAATCAAAGTATACCATATATTTCTCATATATTAAGTAATTTTTAAAATTCTTTTCATATTTTTAAAACCGACTTGAGTCATGTATCACCTTAAAAAACCTGTGGATTCCATATTTTTCGTTCTCGAGACGATTCAAAGTCTCAGATTCTGAAGTATCCTTTTGATTGTCATAGTTTTTTTCATCCAGTTGCACCAGCACAATTTCATCCTTATCCAGTTTTTCCTTTAATAATACTCCATTTGTAATGTGTACTAGTTGCTTAGTACGTTATAAATTGTTTTTTGAAACCACTTAAGAAAATTTTCAGCATTAAAAAAACCTCAGACTTTCTAAAATGATAAATGAAAATCTGTTCCCGCTAGTCGTTTTATTCCGCACAAAATGCATACTTTTGACCAGGAAAGGAACATGCATGGGTTTGAAATCAACGTTATTTTCCTCAAAGACAAATTTCTTTATGTCAGTTTTAATTGCAGAGGAAACTATATTCTATCAGGACATCATCAAAATATGTAAGAATTGATCGGTCAAAAAAAAAACATTTCTCTCTTAGAAAAAATACATTAAAAACATACACATGACGTCGAACAATCGTCAGGTGAAGAATGTATCATAGTTAATTCATATTCGGGATTTGCAAACCGCAGTCGTTTTTCACTTATCTTACGTGATAAATTGCCTAAAGTCGGCTTTTCTAACGAATTATTATTTCTACATGCCATGGTAGTAACCTGTTCACCGCTACTTTTTTCGAACGATTCATCAACATATGATATAGAATCCTCCTCATGAATGCATATTTGTTTTTCGTCTTTAACTTGGGACAAAGAACTTTTTGAAGGTTTACTGGATGAGGATAGAGAATGATAGCTTGCCACTGGAGTGAAGAGTTTTGTGGGCGACATCTTGAAACAAATTTGTATCATAAATACAAGTTTTCTAATTGGGTTTTATAGATAAAACCAAATTAAAAAAGACTACAAGTGACGTATTTCAAAACAAGGGACAATTAATTACAAGACAAATCATATTTCAGCCAACGTATTTTGTTACGAAAAGTATTAAAACGAAATGGGAAATTAACAATAATTTAACTTCAGTAATTAAACTGCCCTTCACATTATCGATTTATTTCATGCTAACTTGGGAGATTTTTTAATACTAGCTATTCATCTACAATAATTATCGAATATTCTAAAAAAGAAAGTAAAATTAAATCTAAAAAAAATAGAATTGAAAAAAATCACATCTTCAGAGCTCAAACCAGGAGGCGATGGTCGTGTATGTCTCATTTCGTATTCAAAATTTTCAACACTGGCAGCAAGAGCAGCAAATCGAGCACGTAATTTTGCGTTACTGTTGTTATCTGTAGTACCACCATTGAGCGGTGAACCAAAGTTTCGCTGGAACATTACAAAGTGTAAGTGAAGCTATAATGGTAACAAGATTAAAAACAATAAAGTACATAGTGCAGCAAAATCATCTTAGTTCGAAAATTTTATGATAATTTTAATAATTATGCTTTTCGTAAAATTTTACAACTGTAGTCAATCAGACGAACATTTTCTAGATTTTCAGTGGAGATCCTTCTCAACGTTTCCAATTCTTCAGTTGGATAAAGTGAATGACTACTTTGTTCGTTTTTATTTGATAACTGATTTGATAAATCCATTTCCAAACTTGTTCGCACGATTGATTCCCCTAAAGTCTAACTTCCAAGCACTGGGCTTTTCTTGAGAGCAGAAATCATGAAAAGATTCGTCAAATTTCAAGTACTAAAACATAAAGGAAATTTCATTCTCTAAATGAAGTTGATTAAGGAATTATATTCTGTAAAATGATGAATCAAAAAATACCTATGTCACTCTCTAACCATGCATTTTCCTTATCAATCAGTAATTCACGCTCTTTTGTACGTTCCATAATTCTCTGAAATACGGTAACTGGAATATTTTGTTGCTGATAGTATTATTTCCTAATTGAAATGAATTCTTGCTGATGTTCATAATCATATAAATAGTTTACAACAAACATAAAAAACAGCAGTAACATAAAAGGCTGGAAATGAAAAAGTTCAAATCTTCATGGATGAAGATTTGAACTTTTTGAACTTATAAAACGTGATGCTTCATCTTATGAAGAAACATCACGTTTTATAAGTTACAAAATATTGGATGCAGAGCATAAAATAAATGAGGAACGGCAACTTAATTTCATATTCAGTTTAACTTTTTTCTGACGCAAAACTCTGTTAAAAATCAGATTTCACATGGTTATTGTAACAGCAAGTTTGGAAAGAAAAATAACTTACATCGAGATTAATATCTTCTGCTTCCATGCTTTGTAAGAGTTATTTCCAACTTCAATTTTTTTCTCTTAGAGCCTGCAAAGCTAAGAAGTGAGAAAATAAGCATAATCAAGGTTTGAACTGCAGCAAGATAAAGTATAACTGAATCGTAGAGTATGAAATTAATATCGAACCAATTTTCAATGGAAAAGCATGAATTATGACATAGTTAACTATGAGGAAGTACCAAAGAAGCTGTCACTTTGCATGTTACTATAAGAGATGTTGAATTTGCATTAGTATAAAATAGCAGATTACTGTCAATATTAATTTGATGAAAAATAGTATTTTTCGCAAAAAAATAATCCAGTGAGACGTGAAATGAGTACTAATAGAAATAGACCACAATACAGAGCAATTAAATATTGTGATTTCTAGTGAAAATTTATAAGCTAAGGTAGTTGCTCAATTATTCACTACCCTCTATAGCCTAACTGCATCCAATAATCAGTGGTAAGAGAAAAATGATCACTTTCTTGTCCAACATGTAATCAGATAAGAATGGTTGGTTTTGTCATGACAATCATCAGTTGTGTAGTATGAGGCTATAGCGGATAACTAATAACTGAAAAATATATGCATTCTTAGAATAAGTCACAGTACAGCGAAATTATGTCGTATTTAGTTTTCTTCAGCACAAAATTAGTGGAACATTTTTCAAACTATGAAAATACAGTCTTTTTCAGGCCAACTTCCGTAAGATAATTCTTAATATTTTTCTCTGATATGGTTGGTTATTTAATTTATAGGCTGATTTCGTGAGAACCAATGTTAAACGACCCTGTTTTTGAAATTAAACACCTACCATAACTACGAAAAACTGCACCGCTAGCATTAATAATATCAGTAATTAATGAAATATTAGCTGTACTGAAGATGAATTGCAATAGTAATTGAAGATGACAGTAATAATATGAATGTAGATGTTACACGAAACATTTTCTCAGAAAGAAACTATAACAAATGTTAATTCTCGCAGTTACACATCAGAGAGTAATCCTATACAAAGCTAAACTAATTTAGGCTAAACTCATCCCAAAACATTAGTATATTCTGCATCGGCAAACGTAAATTTCGAAAATATGAATTCTGGAAGTTTAGAACCAGACAAAGTCGAAAGTCTTTTAATAGCAACGAAGTTCAGAGGTAATTCGATCAAACAACTACCTCAGTTACTCTTCGGAAATTTTTAACTCCCAGTCAAACGAAATAAAGCGAAAATTCATTAACTACCAATTATCTTGTCATTCAGTTGCAACAATACAAACTTTCGCTTAAAAGTAGCATTTATTTTGATAGTGCAAATTCCTCTCGGCAAACTGCAATGCAACAATAATTAGCCAGTCAACAACATACCAAGAGATAATTTCATTTTTCAATCAATTAATAATTCAAAATGAATGTTTTATGAATAATAATGAATAATACAAAAGCAAAAAATACGCAAACTGCAGCCAAAACGAGTAAGCTGAAACAAAAACAAAAATTGTAGTCAACAAAAACGCGCACGCGTCGATTTCCCTCTCAAATCGATTGCAATTATAATTTAGTCCGCCCTATTCGAATTCAAAAATTTCCTTCTTTGTCTCGATATGCAAATATTTCATATCACAAGTGCTTGAGATTCCTTTCTAATTGAGACATGTGTCGAAATATCAAGGACAGATATAATACATTTTGAAAATGGAAGTCTAAAAATAGTTTGAACCAAACAATATACTTGAGTATTTGTCAGTTTTGTCATTAAATTTTCCTCTCCGATTTTCTCGGCTATTATTTATACTTGCTTAATATGAACTGTCGAATTATTTTACTCATGTTCATAGAGCTTTACGTAAATTATTGTTGTCTTAAATTGAAAATATTCAACAATATGAGCTTCTGCTACAAGTTTTGAGATATTTTCGTAGGGTATCCACAATGCGAAAATGACGGACCGCATAGAATTGAGCTTCGTTGATGGTAGCAACTTCTCCTTCTGTGATATCCCTATGAATTCAAGTATGCTATCTTGGTCTGTCTTCCGACGTCTAGTATTCGGGTGTTCTCTATCTGTGGTTTAAGGCATCAGATCTGATGCCTTTTTTTACTGTTAGTTATAGGTTGAGATTTTGAGGTCAAGTATGAATATAGACGCGATATCAGGTTGCAAAAAGAAAAGTTTCTTTGTTTTAGTCGGGTGGTACCACAAAACTGGACTGCTCACACAACTTTCACTATTCTATTTAATTAAAGATTTGTTTTTTAGTGATGTAAATCAAGTTATTTATCTTAACCAAGTCATTTTTTCACGTGTTCATTTCAGATTTGTTCGTGAGGATCCATTTAGCGCTGAATTTTAGGAAAAAGTCATGAAATTAAAGAGCAGTGTTAAGCCTTTTATTTTAAAAATATATTGATAATTTTTTATTATTAATAAAACTATATTCAGTGATGCAAAGTGGAAGTGGGAGCGGTTCCGATACATTTAGCAGCTATGAACATCCTCCACCACCAGGTTCACGTCTGGCGCAATACTTACACGGCAACAGTACCCAACAAGTATCACGGCCATCAAATTGGACTAATAGTGAGAGCTGCTTACTTTTTACGATGTTGTTTTGAATTTGGATTAATTGTTTTGAACGTTTTGAATAAAGGATGGATTATCCTGCTGCGAATTGATTTCTTCATTGCAAGCAATCTATTGAGCGAAAAATTCCATTATAAAATTTGTCAGTACTTGAATTAGAGTGAAGGCATTTCTTGAACTGACACTATTGATTGTATGAGCTCTTTTTTATAGATCTTGCCTCCAATCAAACCGTTTTAACCGGTCCTTACGCTTTCAGCAGTCAATCTGCTTCCAATTCAAATAGTGTAGGTTAAACTTTAATTCATTCTTTGTATTCTAATAGGTGCTGCATATTCACCACTGTCTGCGTTTCAGTATTTACGAGTCATGATAGCTAATACATGTTGTATAATGTATCCTAACCGGCTTAGAATTTTGTATTACTATTCGGTTAATTTCTTCACAGTGTTGAGTGATTGCTATAAAGAGTTTTGATTTTAAAATAGCTTTTAATTTCATGCTGATGATATTGCAGATATTTGAAGTAGAATTGTACTAATAACAAGGTTATAGTTAAAGTAAATAAGTAGAAGACTGTTTTTATGTTCTGAAATGCGTTGATGAGAGGAATACGCATAGTTCAAATTGAAAATGTGAACCTCATTTAGTTCTGTAGATATGAACAGGAGCTCATAAAATCACAAACGACTCTTTATTTTTTGCTTAACTTAATGCTCTTGAAAGATGAATAAATGCTTTAGTTATCACATTTTACATCTTCATTCGCTGCAATGGGACTGACTGATGAAAAAGACAATTCAACATTATCGACGATGCCTTTTGGCTTTCCTACATCATCGCAACGATCAATGAGTTACTGTAGGTATTACTAGTTGTATTTTTAACTAATACTTATTGTCAATTATTATTTACATTTTGCACTTATTATTTAATGTTGTTATCGATTAATATTTATTTTGGTGTAACAGAATATTTTATTCATTTTTTTCTTTTATCATTAAGAGCAAAGTCGTTAAATCAAAGTATAAAAATAATATGGATAACTCACACTATTGTAATCAAGGCTTTCAGTTAATTTTAATTCTCTTCAACTAATGTTATGCAAGCATTCAATATCTCACTGTAAGTCTTAGTTTTGTTGTTTCATGCTAATGTTTCATCCTTTTAGCTAATGTAACTCAAGCGTTAAATAACCCGATTATGCACGACCCAATAAAACCAAGCAGTCATATAAGTGCTGAAAGTTGTGGTGCAGCAAATTATATGGTTGGTTTTTAAGAAAATAGGTGGTTGTAAGTGTTAGGATTTATAATTATGAAGCCTAAAAGTAATTTCATTGAATCTGTACTTTTGTTCTATTGCAGCAAGAAAATTTCGGCGGAACGACATATTTTTTTGCTCCGTCTTCAGTAAATTCATGTTCTGCTGATGGGCAGTCACCTACTGCTCAAAAAGACGACCGTGTATATGTGGTACATTTTTTCTTGTGTTGCTTGTGAAAGAATAGTTCGTGATAATAATTTTTCTAGAACAAATCTACATACGTGTTTTTGTATTTGATTTTTTTAATAATCTTCTTTATAGACAACAGCTGGACATTTTGTTTATCATGGTCCATTGCCTCATATTGGAAAATACAAGCCTCCTCGAGGACTTTCATATTTCACACCACCTGAGCTGAAATTGGTGCAAATCTTTAATGCGTATTTATTATTTTAATTTTTATTTCTCTGCAGACTTATTATTAAAATGATTAGTTTACTTTTGCATTGCTCTTATTACAGTTAGAGATGCTAAATCTGTGTTTGAGGCTCAATTTTTAGGAATTATTGCAACGACAGTTAGCTATACAATGTCGCGCGGAACCATCGCTTTACCCTGATATTCCTCAGAATGTAGAATATTTTCAAAACCTAGTACCCTTAGAAAATATTAAATTTGGTACTGGTCACATGGAACGTGGAACTTTCGGATCACATATCACAACTGTTTATAAAGCTATCAATGGACGTGATGGAATGCCATATTGTCTGAGGCGGATCCATAGTAAGTGAAGTTATCTTGTATATTGTATTGCTCATAATATGCAAACATTCAAGTGTCAGAAAAGCTTAACAAATATCAGATCTTTTTTATTACCTAACTGTTTTATATTTGTTGCAGACGATCTGTTTTGATATTTTAAACTAAAATATGTATATTAAGAAGAGAATAGTTATTACGACTAACTTCCGTGTGAAGTATGAGTATTGTTTAAGATGTGATATCTATAATTATGCTGTTCCTTATTTAAACGAAAATATTACATTAGGCTTAGCGTAAAGATTCTTTATTGCCTCTCTGCGGGAAAGTTGTTTAGCTGCTAAAACATAGGTTTTATGTGCAGAAGTAGACTTTATAACTTCTTTCATATAAACACTCCACGAACATATACACTTGCGTCTCTTTAGAAAGAGTTAGTTTAATGCAATGGATCTTGACATTTTTTGCAGATTTTCGAATTAATGCAATAAAGCAGCTGTCATTGGCGGATAATTGGAAGAAACTGGTGCATGTTAATGTTGTGCAACTTCGTGATGTCATACAGACACGACAGTTCGGTGATTGCTGTAAGTCTGTTGCCACGCTAAGTTTTCTGTTCGCAAAACGATCCAGAGTGCATACAAATTGTTTGCATACACTTGAATCGTGTTGTGAATAGTTGCGCTGTTAATGAATAATGTTGTATATGAAAAAAAATGATAAAAATTCTGTACTGATTTATCCAGTGAAAAATAAAGATAAATCAATTGACAGTGTTCATATTTTCAGCTGTAATTTTTGCCTATGACTATCATCCACTGTCAGAAACTTTGAGAACTCGCCATCTTTTGAATCGATTGAATGGTAATGGCAATTTTTTGAGTTCTTTAAAGGATGCCTCATATGCTGTTTATATGTTTATTAATCTGTGATACGTTGAGGAAATAGTGGGATTAAAAAAAGACATGTTGAACTAAGATTTTTGCCTAAATTAAACAAAAGCATTTGTTATAAGCAATGTTGCATTAAATTCTGCTATAAGTCAAGTTACTAGTTAAGAATTCCCATCTTATTTAATCAGATATGAAGCATTTAAATAGTTTGTACCTTGTTTCGCGTGGAGATTTATTGTAATCATAACACTGCTCCGGATTTCGGTTATCTCAAAAATCTCTAGTGTACTTATTTTCAGAATAAATATTCATAATTTTGTTGATACTTCCAATTTCTGATGAGAATGTTCTCGACGTTTACTGATTTATAGGTTCATCAAAACTAGGACCCATTGCGAATCTGACGGGTGGTAGTCCTGTGATGCAAGAATCTTTAATGTGGTCTTATATTGTACAGTTGTCCTCAGCCCTCAGAGCTATACATTCGGCTGGTATGGCTGCACGAACTGTCGATCCATCCAAAATAATCATTTTTGATAAAACTAAGTAAGTAGTTTTGCTACTGCGATAAAGGATCAATTTTTTGGTTTAGTGAACATAGAGTTTACTTTGTTAAAATTTTGTACTGTAACATTTTGTCTCGCGTCTTTGTGATGCGATACGAGAATAGTTCTTCAACATAAAAACAAGTTATTATATTTCATAAACAAGATGACTGTACGTTTATTTCTAATAAAAAGAGTTCACTGGAATTTTTCTTTACAATTTTCGCATTCCGCTGTCAAAGGCAAGAAAAAAAAGAGACCTGACTTATTTTTTCATTGTTTATAAAGCTATCGTAAAGTTTTCTTTTGTATATTTTCAGAGTTATGTTGAGCAGTTGTGGAATTTTAGATGTTATTAGTCCTGGCAGCGAACATGCTATTCAGCTGCAACAAGTCAGCACATTTTTATTGTCTTTTCCTGTCTGTGATTGAAAACAAATTATAACTGCTCTTATTTAATCTTTATAAAGTTATCAGAACTGTCAATGACGAAAAATTTTCATGAATCTATATTAATAAATGACATAACTCATACTTTCAGCAAGAAGATTTGAATGGTTTAGGTCGTGTGCTTATTGCTTTAGCGATGGGTTCTCCACACGCCGTACGTCGTGAAAACATTAATAATAGCCTTAGTATAATAAACCAACAATGTACGACAGACTTAAAAAATATCATCACGTATGTTTGAATATGTATATCACATAATGTATGCAAATATCTTTTATTGTGCTTTCTTTTATTTATTCAGTATATCAACATGCTCAAAAATTGAGTTCTTTTTTAATTCGATTTCAAGTAAACATTTTTTTTTGATCCCGATCTCTGCTTTATAGAATAAAAATTTAAGATATATGATATTTTCTTCAAATTAATAATATTCTGCTGCATATAGCAATGAAGTATTCTTTCATCCACGCGAAATTGCATTACTGGATACCAAATTTTTTTAATCTGGCTTTCGTCATAAGTTTAGGTATAAATTTGTTATGATTAAATAGATTTAAAAGATGCCTAATTTAGGCTATTATTACAAGCTTCCTCTCAGCGTCCGCATTCAATCAATGAAGTAATGCCAATGATTGGTGCTCGTTTTTATGCCCAGCTGGAAACAACTCAGATGAAAAACGATCTTTTAGAAAATGAATTATCTAAAGAACTAGAAAATGGACGGTTGTTTCGACTGCTCTGTAAAATAAATACAATTACTGAACGATCAGAGTGAGTTCCTTTCTATTGTGGATTCCCTTTTGTAACGTTAAAATGTGAACTAGTTCTTAGGCACCTTTGACAAAATGTCAGTTAATTTCGTTATATCAAGATTTGTGGAGGAAATGTATCATTTATCAAGTAATTTTTTCATATGACCTTAGATTATAAGTATTATTGCATTACAGAGTAAAATTTGATTGGCATTGGAAAAAGACTTTTATTTTAGGTTTCAAATGGATATGTCGTGGAGTGAAACAGGCGACCGCTATTTATTAAAATTATTCAGAGACTATTTGTTTCACCAGGTTACTGAATCTGGTAAGCCATGGATAGATATGGCACATATCGTCACTTCATTAAATAAGGTTGCTTCTGATTTTCATTAATCTTTTCTGGCGACTTAGAAAGTTGACTGCGTAAGGAGTCATCAGCTTTCAAAGCATTTCAGTTTTATAAAATTGACCCATGTGTTCTTTTTCTTGTTTTGTCAATAGGAAAATTTGTGTTCTTATGATATACTTTTGATGCAGTTAGGTAGTCTGCTCAATTTGAACGGCATCACTTGTAATTTTAGTTAGATGCTGGTGTAAATGAGAAAATTCAATTGGTCTCTCGTGATGGCGAAAATGTACTTGTTGTATCGTACACAGACTTGAGACGATGTTTGGAAAATGCTTTCAATGAATTACAAAATCGGCTTCCATCAGTACCGAATTTACTGCCAATAGTTGGTCATATCTAACACTTATGAAGAAAAAAGGGCATTTTATTGTCTCATTTTGTAATAAAATTACAGTTTTATATTCAAACAAATTTTTGTGAGTTTCGCACAGGTTCTTTACATCCTTTGCAAATAAATTCTCAGGATTTTACATCTCTGCATATGTTGTTTGGACGATGCATTCAGCCATAAGCTCTTTCTGTTACCTGATCAAAAAATTTGAGCATTTTAAAGAGGTGGGGTTTTTGTATCTGCTTGTTAACTTTCTTATTTCAATTTTTCTTAACTTGGAAACTTCTTGAAGATTATGCACTTCAATCTATTTTTCGAAATTTAAATTTTTTAAGTTTTTTTCTTTCTTTACATGCATTCTGTGAGATAATATCTCACATTTCTTTGTTACTGTTGATATCTATTGGTTGCTTTATTTGTCTCGTTTTTCAGTATTGTTGAAAGACTTTGATTGTTTAATTTTCCTCTTTTAGTTTTTATTCAATGTTTAAACTTTTTCAATCTAATTTTTGATGCAGTTACAGTGACAGAACATTAGTTTTGTTGTTTTTTGTTCTCTGATTTTAAGTTTTTATTTGAACTATCTGTCGTTAAAATTTTTGAAAATTTGTAGATGTTCGTATGGTGCAATGCTGGCAATGTGATTGAGAACTTTTCTTTGTAGTGCAATCCCAATGGTTTAGAGACTTAGATTGGAATTAAGTCATTTTGTATATTCAATTTTTGAATGCATTGAATTTCTCTTCCACACGTATGTTTATGTTCTAATTTGTTGAATGATTTGATTTTTTTTCTTTTTTTCAAACAGTATTTACAGCTTTTTTGTTGAATTTTAGCATTCGTACTTCCGTTATGCTTCTTATTGATTGGTATTTTAATCACAAGTTATTTTGAATTTAAGTAAATTAAAATCTCCAAGAGCATTCATCCTTAATTATTTTCTAAGCGTATCACAAATCATATAAGTTGAAATGGCCACAGTAATATGTATCTTTTTGCATCCAATTTTTTTAACTATGCATCGTTCAAATGGTAATGCAGTTTGGTTTCTTGCGGTTGTTGTTCATTTTTTCATTAATGATTGCATTTTTCAGTGACATTAGCACTGAAATCTTATACTGTCATGTTTGATAAGTTTTGAGTAATTTATATTTAAAATTACTTTTGTAGAAGCAGTATGGTCTACATTTGTTCAGCAAATATCTGGAACTTGTTATCAAAAAAAAACAAAAAATGATTTCTCAAGAATAGCAACTAATTTTCAGTATTTGACTTATTAATCAGGCAACGGTACCAAGATATGGGTCATTATTTTCAGTAGATAAGAGAAAGTTACCGCCATATTAATTGTTTCTAGTAAAAGATCTGTTTATATAATCTATTTGCTGACCAAATATTGTTTCATATAAAGTGACTTTATTCGATGGTTTAAGTTAGTTCTAGTTGAAGTGTTTCTTGTTTTGTGCTGATGTTCCCTTCATCGTTTTCAGTGTTTGACTTTCGTCTTTCCGGGGATAATATAGAAATATATCTTGATCGGTCTCTATTATTCGTGTATTCTAAATTTTTTCATCCAGCAACAGTTTACATGAGGAAAGATGAATATCGAGGTTCGAACATTAATATTTTTTGCATTTGCTTTATATATTTCAAATGAGATTTCCAAGATTATCAAGATTGTAAGAAACGAATGAGTCATTAAATAGAACATCTTCATCTTTAAAAATTAACAAATTGTCGAGAAAAGCAGGATTTTATATTTGAATATGTGGTTACTAATTTTTAGGACGATTTGCAGACTAATGGAAATGCACTGTGTATATATTAGGAAGTTGCAGATTTTAAGAACGTTGGTGAGAATGGTGACAATTTGAATTACTGATGGTGAGAGCTGTTGAGTACATTTAAGGTTCTGATTGAATTTTTTACTCGTTTATTTCAAGTCGGATATAGGTAGTTCTTAAATAACATTTTGTTGTTTATATAATTATAATATCTTTTGGTGATATCTTAACTGCTGAAGTAATAATGTTTGCTTGTGAAACGAATATGTGAAAATTTTGGAAGATTTTAGAGGTGTTCATGAAATATTAAGAATTTTCCACATGGATTGGGGTATTTAATATTATGTGGGTTTATTTGGTTTTGCATTTTTTATGAAAACAATTTTTATGTCGTTAAACTGCAGCGTATTTGAATGTTTCATATGCATAAGTGTCCCTAATATGTAGTTGGTTGATTATGTTCGGGTTTGCTGTTTTCAATATTTTCTTGTGTAATATTATGATTCATATTATTACTGTTACTATTAGCATTAACAGTGCTTCTTTGTAGCTTGTTCCTTGTATTTTACTTTGTCATGTTTTTGAATTCTGAATGGGACAAAATTACTTTCTCCTTTTTTGGTAATGTGTCACTGATTGGTGTTTTCTGTTCGTTTTCTTGGTTTATTACTGTGTTACTTTCCTTCATTTAATGGATAAAAGGTAAAAATTTTTTGGATAAAAATAGTTGCTGAAGGGAATGCTTATTTCATTGCTCTATATGAAAGAGGTGCTAAAAATTACCCCTTCACTACTTTCCTCATATTATTTATAACTAATATAGCACAGTGTCACTAATTGCTCGTTATGATGACGATAGCGTTGTAATACTTGAGTAAAACTTTGGTGAGTATAGGTGTTGTTCATGAGAATATACGTAGACGCCAAAAATTTGAGAAAGTGAGGGAGGAATTTCATCCAGGAATGCGAAGGATGATGAGCAGGCCGCGATTCTTCAAACATCTAAAATTTCCTTCCCCATTTATTGCTACTATTTGTTCTTATGTGTATTTTGTGTATTTGTTGGGATGGATAGTTCTGTTCCTGTAGTACAATACAAAAGTAGGGGTTAGTTTAGCTGTCGAAGTAATATTATTTAGAGAGGGAATCAAGATTATCGGTTTTTTGTAGAACTTTATAATCTTTGTGCTGTATTGGTTGCAGTAAAATAATTTTAGGCCAGTATATAGAGTTGATATCACCAGGGTATATCATGTTAACGATTTTGAATTAAATAATTTGTTATATAATGAATAGACAGCCGAAGATTGGAATGGTAGTAGTATTGCTGCTGAATCGCATGAATACTAAGCATGGCATATCCAGATAATTCGGCAGTTATACTATTCTTTTGGAGATCATGCTAACTTTGTAAAGTTGAGTTAGGTTTCTGGGAGTTTTATTGATTTTGAGAATTAAAAAAGTAGAGAATGTAGAATTGGTTTGAAGTCTTAACGTTGTATTTCATTTACTGTCTTAAATTGTGCTTCGCAAATATCTATAAAGTCTTTTTATTTGAGTTATCAACTGTTTTCAATTACATCATTATTTTATTTTAGATAAAAACAAATTTTTTACATTACCGTTTTGCTAGAAAAAGACAAGTAGAATATATATAAGTACATAAGAGCTTATATTTACATGTAAGTGAATATAAGTGTTGGGGACAAGTAAGAAATTGTAAGGTATCCGATTTTGTGTGTTTATTAATTGTCTATTTAATTTCTTGATTCAGAACGGTTCGTTGGACCAAAATCATTTGCATCATGTAATGAGTGATTGGTTTTTCACGTTTTGAAAAATCCTAGTTGAATATTTATGCCGTGTTCTCCGTTTTTGCTTCAGTTTTCATCTTTCATTTGCATTGTACAATTAGAAACATTTATTTGCTTGTTTTGTCCCGAATTTCTTTCAGTGTATTCTTTATGATTACTAGGGAGATGTGGATACGATGTTGGTTTTCTTTGATTTCGGTTGCATTTCTATCAGCAGTGTTTGTTGCGGGCAACAGCGATGATATGGATGAGATGGATATCGATGACAAATCGTTTGGTGATAATGTAAAAAGTCCTGGAGTTGTAAGTGTAGTTCATTTTCTTAAGATATCGTAATTATGAGCAGCTCATTATCTTGAATTAATTGTGCAAACAGTAAGGTAAAAAAAAAACATTAAATTCAATTCAAAGTAGTCATTAATTTAATTTCGGGTTTTGACTATGCTGCATTAGTGGTAAAAATGTGTTTTTTTTCAGTTTTTTCGTGCTTAATTTGCATTTTTTTAATTTTATAATACATTTAACTTTTGCTCTTATTTTAAATTTGTTAATTTCTTCCATTTGCATAAAATGTATATTGTTTATATTGGTAGCTGGTGAAATATATAAATTGCAAATACATTTCACAATAAATTCAGGAATATACACCACCGAAGTTTCAAACGCCTACGGTTTCTGGATCACCACTGTTAGTAGATTGGTTTTCAAATCCAGGTGCAATTGGCAAAAAATGGCTTCTTTCAAAGGGCAAGAAGGATAACGTAGAGGATTCTATAGCGAAGTTCAACGGTATGCTCATCATTTGTTCCCACATAATAACATGTACTTTGCGCTTTTTGATAATGTTTAGTAAAAATCGATTTATTACAGTTAGTAGATGTCTGAATCAATTAGTAAAAGTAGACAAGACTCTGAAATCCTATATTTCTCTTCACATTTTTCTCCTGAACTAAGTGCGTTATTGTGCTGTTTCTAAACTTCTGGAATAGTAATATTAGTAATAAATACTTCTTAGGTGAATGGGAAATAGGTGCTCCATCGAAAGTTGTCATTGATAATGATCTGGGATTAATTGTGAAAACTAAGGCTCGACATCATGCAATTGCTACTAAGTTCGCTCGCCCTTTCAGATTTGTTGAAAACCCGTTGATTGTTCAGTAAGTTTGATTAATAGATCATACAAATAATTATATAAGAAAGCTCATCAGAATTACTGCAGAGTCATGATTTTATTTCACCCAGCATATTTCTTAAACTTAACTATTCTGATCAGTTTGGATATGTGATTTTGGATAATTGTTCATTTCAACAAAAATATTTCACTCGAGTGAGAATTTAATTTATTTACCAAAAAGTTTTTGACGTTGAACCATAAATTTTGATTTTAAGTCAGTTCTGTCATACTTGTAAAAATTTGTTTCTGAAATCGCTTCTTATTATTATATTGTGATGATATAGGTTAAGAGATTTTTCAGTTTTCAAAATTACGACTTCGAATTGTTGATAGATGATTCGGTTTCATTATACATAAAATAAGAGCCTGTTCTAATTTCCAGGTATGAAGTAAAATATGAGGAAGGACAAGACTGTGGTGGGGGATACGTCAAATTGCTTACGGAAGGTGCTGAAAAAAAGCTTGAAGAATTCACAGACAAAACACCATACACGATATTGTTTGGGCCGGATAAATGTGGTGCGAAGTCGAGTATTTTGTTTATTGTTCGCTTCAGAAACCCTAAAAACGGTACTATCTCCGTAAGTTTTTGTGTTTATCTCGTTTTATATAATGCCTTAGAATATGAACATAAATAGGCAGAAAATAAGAAATATCATAAGTAGTACTAACTTAAATACAGTAATATCTTAATTTTGATCAAAGTCAGATGTGAAGTATATTTATATCTTATAGATACGTTTTTCTTATCGCTTCTCATTTCATATACCATTTTTTAAAACTGTATTTCAACCTCGGCTTCCTCTAATACTTTAAAATTTATTAATTTAATTTCCATTTTATTGTTTATACTTTTTAGGAGCATCATGCTAAACAACCTTCAAAATCAGTCTCGACATACTTTGATGATCATAAGACACATTTGTACACCCTGATTATTCGTCCTGATGAAAGTTTTACTGTCTTAGTTGATGAAAGTAAAATTATGTCTGGCAGCCTGATAAATGTAAATTTGTTGTCTTGTATGATCATTTTTTATATTTTCTATAGTACTTAAACTTATTTTTCATCCATACATTATTGTAAATTTCACTTTAACAGTACTGAAATGTGTTTTCAGTATTATCATGATTGACCGTTTTCAGGATCTCGAACCATCTATTACTCCACCAACTTCTATTGATGATCCAAAAGATGAAAAGCCTGAAAACTGGGATGAGCGCGAAAAAATCGAGGATCCACAAGCCAAAAAACCAGTTGATTGGTAGATTTTTCATTAGATGTTGGGGTAAATCGTTTATTTGAATTGAATTGTAAAAGGGAATTTTAAAACATACGTTTTTAAAAATGTAACTTAACAGAGAGTAGATATTGTTGAAACATTCTAAAAACTTTAATTTACTGTTTTTTTCTTTCCAATTGCAAAAATAGTCTCACTTCTTTAATATGTTTTATGTTCAGTCCCACTTTCATTTATTACTTGAAGGGATGAAGATGCACCTAGGAAAATAGAAGATAAAAATGCTGTAAAACCTGAAGATTGGCTTGAGGAAGAAGAAGCATTCATTCCGGATCCTGATGCAAAAAAACCATCTGATTGGGATGATAGTATGGATGGCGAATGGGAAGCACCGAAAATCGATAATCCAAAGTGCAAGCTCCGAAGCGGTTGTGGAAAATGGACAAAGCCAATGATTGATAATCCAAATTACAAAGTAATGTGGATTTTTAAGAATATTCATAGTTAATTAAAAATTTATTCTTCTTCTTAAACTTGACTTTTTAAAGCTTTCATCTGCTCATTGTATTCATGACTTCGGCTCTATTTTATCATTTTTTGAGTGACAAGTTGTAATAGTATAACATTAAAGTAAAAAAATGCTTTAAAAGCCGTTTTTTTTCTTAATTTATTTGCCATATGCATAAATGTTCCATTTATAAATCACATCTATTTATATTAATGCTTGATATTTTATTAGTCGAAGAATAAGTGCTTTTATAGGGGAAATGGAAACCGCCGCTTATTACTAATCCTAATTATAAAGGAAAATGGGTTCCAAAACAAATCGCAAATCCAAATTACTTTGAGCCACATCCGTTTACTCAATTGCAACCTGTCACATCACTTGGCATTGAACTGTGGACTATGAGTGCTAACATTATCTTTGATAATATTTTTGTTGGAGATGATGAAAGTGCAGCAACTAGTTTTGCTAAGCAAACTTTTCGTCTTAAAAATGCTCAGGTACTTCTGAAAAATTAGCGGAGTACTAATAACCTGAAATTATTTAACTGTGATGTCAGTATTTATGCTTTATGTTATTCACTTATGATCTGAAGTTCTTTCGTATCAGGAAGAGGCATACGAAAGTGCGTCCTCTCCTAATCAAGGAATATTCGGTAAACTTGTAACAGCCACTGAAGAACGACCTTGGTTGTGGGTTATCTATGTGTTATCAGTTTTAATACCTGTAGTCATCATCGCAGTTGTTTGTTTTGGACGAAGAAGTCGGCCGATTGCTGCTGATTACAAAAAAACAGACGAAGTAGGAAATAATTGTTTCGTTAATATGTTATGAAAAAATAAGTTTTCTATTATTATGTTAATCTACAATTTTTTGAAAGGAAATTGTGAAACATCTATTAGAGAAATTAAAAATGATGTTTAGAACCACTTGATGTTGTTATCATGATGTGATGTCTTTTTAGGTAGTAGTTGATGATGAAGTGCCAAATCTTGTCGGTGATGATGATGATTTGGTGGAGCAGGGTTTGCAGGATTTTGAAGAAAAAGATAATGATGAGGAAAAGGCAACGAAACGTACACCATCAAGATCACCAAGTCGTTCTCGTGTTGACAAGGTGAATGTCAGCTTGTTTAAATACATTGAACCAAGTAAATTACCATGGTTCCATATTGCAGAACTTTTTATTGCGAATTGAAAAAACTTAATCATTTAGAACGCTTCATCTGAAGACGAAGTTAAAGATGAAGGGCACAATTCTCCTAAGGCTAGGCGTGTTCGCCAAAGAAAACAAGATTGAAACATTTGGCAAATTCGCTGTCATGTGTTACAGCCATCCGTAAATCAAAATAGTGATTATGTTACTAATGAGTCTCTGTACGAACTATTTCTTTTTTCGCTATTGTGAAATTCATATAGTCACATTTTCAATTGACTACTGTTGTGATATTTTTGTTTATGAAATTAATCTTCTATTTTTTAAATTATTTGTAATAAAAAAGTTATAATTTTAAATTATGTATCTAAATGTTCTATCTCTTAAAGTAAGTGAAAATATTATTCATTCGTTAATATTATTGATTAGGTGCTTGAAGTAAACCGACCAAATTGTCTCTGCTTTTATGCCTATGAAACTAGTTTATTTGTGGAGCTTCTGCTTATTCTAATTTCTATTTGAAACTCTCTCGGTACCAGGCACAGTTTTGTTTTCGATGAATTTAATGCTAATTCATTTTACAGTTTAAAAAAGAGGTGTGAAAGTAAGTCAAGAAAAATATGCGTTTGTGAAAGTCGGTTTTTAATTTCTGTGCGTTATCATTGTGGACGAAGTTATGTTGATTTGAGATACAGAACCGATAAATCAGTTCAATTGAGCAAGGTCGGTTAGCATAATTAACTGTCATAGAGTTGATTACTCCTTGACTTGTATTGAGCTGGCATTATCATCGTTATTCAAACTGCAAATTATTATGGCAACAAGACAGTTATAAGTAAGCAAAAATACATTTACAGGATCCTTTTTTCCCATTACTTTATCACTGTTGGTGACTCGTTTATCTGCTGTCTTCTGCCTAATTTTAAGTTTACGTCGTGTGGGAGTCATAGAAGTTCTATGTCTAGCAGTGTTTTAACATCTAATTTAGTCTCCAGTATCTGTTATACATTATGGGTTGGTCTTGTATCTGTCTTTTGCGTCACCATAAAATTTTTTCTATCTCTTACTTATTGCTTATCCACATTTCGTCATTTCTGCATTACAAAACACATTTAAAAGTGAAAAGAATCTCATATTATCCTTACACTTATCTACCACTTTCGTTCCATTCAAATCCTGTGTTGCCAGCGTACTTTTTTGATTAGGGCGTTCCTCACTATAGCAGTTGATGGAGGAAAATTATACGAGTATTACTGAATACAATAGTAGTTTATTTTCAAATCATCATGCAACTGAAAATCGTTAATTTGAACAGAATCTGCGTGATACAAAATTTTCAATTTTTAAAACATGGATTGGAAGATCACACAAATGGCGCCTCTCATATACATTATCTATATCGAACTTTCCTTATGCTTCTTGTGAAAAAAAATACTAACTGGGCAGTGCCTCACTCATTCTCATCATAAATAAACTCCGCATGCAGAATCAAGGAACACTCTACAGTGGGCTAGGAGGACAAATATATACAAAAGAATCATTCCAGTGGGATAAAATTTATAATATAATGAGAAGGATGAGCACATTTATACGATGTTTTGTTGATTCATGCTGAATACAGTATTCAACAGTTTGATACTTCTTTGGTATCGTCGGTCTCGGATTTGGGAATATTCATTCCAACTGCAATAATAGACAAATATACCAGATGTAAGACTGAATTTCCTTCTAGTTATACATACACTTTTCTTTACGTACTCTGAAAGACGTAAAAATATACTATTATGAACTTATCAAAATAAACAAACTTTTTTCTGATTGTTCTCCAATGTGGTAGATAAAGAGCTAGAAGTTCTTCTGCGCTGTTTGCGATTACTTGATCTTGATGATTCATAAGTAGGGGTGGTGGAGCTGGTTCTATCCGAATACGATCACGAGGTCTTGGTAAAGCCCATATTTCTTTAGTTGCAAGCAAATCCTAAATATCTCATTTGTTCAGAATACAGTCTTTTTTTCTTTAAAATATAGTACATTAAGAAACGTACGAAGTTTATGTAAATTTAAACAAATATGAAACAGTATTCAAAGATGATAGAGAAAAAATATCTTTGTTAAATACAACTATCGTAGAACAGTATTGCTTGTCTTAAAACATCAGAAACATAGTAACGCTTAAATGTGGTAATATTCTAACAACGGATGAGCAACTTGGGAATGAAGTACAGTGTTGATTTTTAACTTACTAGTGAGTCATCAGATGGTTCAGGATGGTCCACTTCGCGTTTTTCTCTTGGACGTTCATCATCACTACCGCGCATCCAATTCCGACATAACGCATAAACGCTCTCCCGACGTCCACTATCGCGCAGAGCAAAAGGCTTACCGCGAAGTTCAAAGATCATTCCTGAAAAATTGATCATCATTTCAGAAGTAGAAGAATCCTATAGCGAATTTGGTCACACTAATTATAATTCAATCTCATTTCATTCTATTCGAAAAAATTGAACGGTTAATTTTATTTAAGCTGTTACGATCTAGCATTTATTTATATACAATATTTTCAGCATTTTCTAAACATAAATTTTTAGTGCTCTGCAAAATATAAGTTATGATGAAAGAAAGAAAAATCACACTGAAAATAACTTACGCCTAATCTCACGCCGTTGAGATTTTTTCGTACGTTGCGTTATATTACCTTCAATTTCATTTGGACTAAAATAATGATATTTGCAGTTAAATACTTAAAAAACTTTCTCACGATAAAGGTTAATGAGAATTTTTTGTCAGAAAAAGCTTAACTTAACAGAAAATGTTCTCTTTGCTCCTTAATTCAATTACCAATCTATTACGTAACTGAATAATGATTGCAGTTGACTGGTAAGTTAAGTTTGTAACCTTTGAACTCGATTTCGAGCTTGCAGTCCTGTTTGAATTTCACCACTTCGTATACCATCAAGTAGGTGGCCAAATCTAGTACGAGCAAACTTCATATCCGGTGATTCGGGCACTTCTTTACTTGTTGCTATCTGAAATACGAAACTAAATGATTAAATATGATCTGAATTAAACTTATTTCTAATAGATATTTCAGCCGTAAATTGAAATAATGAACGAATAACTGCCAATTTCAATTCAGTTACGTTTTCGCTATAAATAACTTAAAATAATGTCTTTTTTTTTGTGGTTTTGTCAAGTAATACTACAAGTTGGAGGCGAATTTGTAGTGTGTTCAGATAAATATCTAAGGTATACCAATAGTCATTAGCTCAGTTTCACAGTTAGGTGAAAAAAAAATCACATCAGATAGATAAAGTATTCCGAATACATACCATTCGATGAGTTGCATTCTTTGAAGGATCGCTAGCTTTCATTGTGATGTTATTATTTGGAACACTTGTCGCCGGAAGCACAATGTCTTCTGTATTTCTTTGCAATGATTGCAATGACATTCACCACCCAAAACTTATATATATATATTGATTGTTAAGTGTTCTGCGTTACGTTCATCTCTTTAAGATTTTTTTAATATATATATATACAATTTTGAAGAAATAAACACCATGCAGAGCACTTAAAAATCAATTTAAAGTAATAAAACATAAGAGTACTCTTTGTAAAGTTAAATCAAATAATGTCATTCTATTGAGAGCCATTATGAAAATGCTCGTTTCACATATTGTTTCAAATTTTTAAGACGGCACTTGGAATCTAATGGAAGACAGGAAGATAAGAAATGAACTTGTGAAAAGCTTTGTAAAGAGAAAACTCTGCCAATGTACCGGAAGAAACCAGAAAAGCAGGATGATTCCCCTCGAATACGAAGGAGGATGGCCTTTGTGTCGTTCCCTGTATAACAAGCAGTTCTTGTGTGCTATTACTCTCAAGGAACTGAAGAAGCAAGCCAATCCTGTGATTGACAGTTCTGCAGGCTGTCCGTGCTCACAGAAACAGTTCTTGGAGGAGCCAACGAGTTGTGTTAAAACACGTATTTCGAGCAAAACCCACTGCATGAGTCTAAGGTTTATCTGGACGTAAAGGAGAACTACCTTGTTCTAGTGCAAGAACGTGAAATGTACCAGACAAGTGGACGCGGAAAATTACATCGAAAAGCACTGACCTGACTTGGAGAGGTGAATTAAATGGTGGATGAATTTGCCACAGAGAATTTTCCCAAATCAGTGACTTATCTTGCCAGGTAGCTCTAGGTATCACAACAATGCTATGAAGATATGACAAGGCGTGAAAAGAAGCCAGCGGTGTTGAAGGCAAACATAGAAAAGACGGCAAGGTTGAATAACTTCTTCAGAACCTTCATAGAGCGGTATTTGACTGGTGAAGAAATTTTTATATGCTATGACCCTCCAAGTTCAAAAACAGATGTGACCATAATCTCTTTAAATTAGCAACATTTGATGAAATGTGTGGCACGAATCATGCAATTAGATCTTGCCACAAGAAGATTCCTTGTAGACAATTAGTTTGGAATTGTTAGCCAAGATCAGCATATGGAGAAGTAGTTACTGGTATGACTTTAAAAAGCGTTAGATTCCACAAACGCTATGCGAACACGTAGATTATCTACGTGTTCCCATAGGGTTTGTGGAATCTAACGCTTTTAGGCATATATCTGATCAATAGTACCTAAGATGACGCTCGACAGCATCTCGCTTGATCTCTGCCATGACAAAGACGAAGCAGCGGAGATCATCAGACCAGAACTCAGTGCAGGACAAGTGTAGCGAGAATGCCAGAATACGATCTAGCGCCAGAATCAATAATGAAGAAAAGAAGAATAACCTCCTTGTGATATTATGATTATTACTATTATTATTAAATTTTATTACATCATGTCAACATGGTTTTACAATTTTCCTCGCTCTTCTGTATATTTGAACTTAAATATTATTTGTGATAATAATTATCATTATTATTTTGTAATATTCACTATTACAGAAATCAAATACTGTTATAATAGCAATAATAATTCACTTTTCACAGTTGACATTATAATGAAATAGTTTTTTATGATGATTGTTATTAATATAAATAGTAGTAATTACCAGTATCGCTAAAATAATCATAATTATGAGTAACTAGCAAATGAAGACAAGTGAATCAACAGTGAATTAGTTATGCGAGCATAAAAGGAATGCTTATCACATCATCCTCGATTTGCCATGTTCTGTACTCTGTTCTGTTTCGTTTTTTATTTCACGTCATTTGAATCATATTTTTAAATTAATCCAATTATTTTGTTTACTTTTATATGTGCCAAAAAGTTAATCTAAAAGTATTAACTTTTCATATTTACATACCGGGATTATTTTATCAATGTACTCATACATGTAATAATTCATTTGTCTATTCATTCTTATAGATATGAGGTGGAAAGTTTCATTTATTAAAATATACCAATGAAATAGTGTAATAGCTCTTTGAGGGAATATCTCTCATTGTTTTTCTACAGCTTCACATAATTTTTTATTTGGTATAATTTTCAGATGCATTTAAATTAAATAAGTGGACGAATATTCAGAATCATATATGCCTTTCCAAATTTACAAAGCAATGATTACTTTGTTCTTAACGGAGAAACTTCATATCTCTAAGAGTAATTGTTAAAAATTGTTCCAATTTTTCCACCTTTCATTGAATGAGGTTTAATGGAAGAAAATGTCAAGTACGATTTATCCGATCATAAAATGATCCCGAAATCAGTCGTAGAATTTGTTTTTTCACCTTTTTACATCTTATTATTTACCTAGTAATTTGTAATCAACACATGTGAGAAAGTGAGTTGGAAATTGACACTAAAACGGAATCTAACAATAGAATCGAATTAGAACGTGAATTAAAATATTGAAGAATTGTGAAAGGCTCATTAATTTTACCTTTGTCCCCCACTTCAGACATTCTTCTGACTACGAGTACTTCAGTTTCGTCTTTTCAAAACTGCTATCATCAACACCCATAATGATCACCGTATCTCATTTATGCATATATTATTACTCAGTTTGATCACCTTAACATAGTCCTTACTTACACTGCTAAAGATAGTGATGATAGCAATATTAATAACAACAATAGTGTTATACTGCCAATTTATACTTGTATGCGCAAATCACTTCCTCCATAAACTTTTGGTGTAAATGTTTTATCTATTATTTCACAGACACACTGATAGTATTTGTGGTGCTTTGGTAATCAACAAACGTTATAATAGCATAATAGTGATTAGACATATATATATAT